GTTCTCAGTCAGTAGTCAATGGCTTAAAGACTGACCTTAAACCTGACAATTCTTTTCAGATATGATGGCTCTTCCAGTAGAACTAGCAGATGACTCCGGAGAAGTGATTCAAGTGGAGACATCAACAGAGACAGTCGAGGAGTCACTAGTGGACCCTGACGAGTCTTTGACAGAGACTACGCATGCAAACTTCTTGTCCCTAGTACGAGCATTGTTCCCAGCTAGAGCGGCCCATAGAGCCTCTAAGCAACAGTTGCATGCAAGGTGCGCTGCTGTCATGAGGTCCCCTATAGCTCCACTCAATACTTGGTATAATTGTAAGTACATCCATCAGTGATACAGCTAGTTCATTTATTAAATGAATATAAGAACTTATATTGAAAGAAGGATATGATATAATTTGTTTTGGTACTAAAATACATTTGATTTCTTTCAGTGTCTGATGACTGGTGTGGAGAATTAGATTCTGCACTAGATTTCCTAGCAGGAGAAAGAGGACAGCATCCAGATGACTACGTGCCATATCTACAGTTTTTACCTGAATCACAGGTTTGTGGTACCATTTACCCTAAGCCTTTTTACATTACAGAACATTTTTATATGCTCATGAATCATTCAAACAGCAGATTTTTAACTCACCACATGACCCTAATGTAGTGTGAGGTCCTATTTGTCCCATAGAGAATTTACTAGTGTCAAAAAATGACTTGTCTGTCCATGGGACTGACAATTTTTGACAGCTACAATGATTGGGCAAATAGGACCTCACACTGTCACACTAAATTATCGCCATCAGGTGAGCACAAAATCTTTAGCTCCTCTTATACAAGAGTTGTGCCATTCATTAGCAATGTATGCTTGAGAAAAAGTAATGTTTACTTATTATGACGTGATTTATGAAGATGTATCAATGGATCGGTGCGGGTCGTGACTGCGACGCCATACTCGGGCGTTTGTGTGAGCGATGGCTTCGAGCTGCCTCGCCACCTCCGCCTGCCAGAGAACCGCCACCGCCTAGGTAATATAAAATATCCCCGTTTCCTACAACCCCTTCCCATTCATCCAATCGTGACTCCAGGATTCCCTAGGAGTGTAATTTCTCTTACTTAGTTTCCAATTATGATCGGCTACAATAACTGAAATTTGTAAGGAGATAAAAAACTACCTTTTTTTACCAACTGGAAATTGGCGGTGTATCAATACAATCTTGGACACCATACTTGCCCTTGGAGAATCGCGAGAACCTTAGAGAACTAATGGCAAATACAGACTTTTTTTATTTAGAATTACAGACTTTTTTAATTAGAATTGTGTTAAATGAGAGTGATAAAATATTATTTACCAGGCATCCTACAACTTGGTCAGTCCGTCCAGCAACTGAGTCCGAATTGATGGATTTCCGCTCACAAGAACGAAAAAGATTTTCTATGGCTGCCAAACCATTCACTTATATACAGTATGGGTAAGTTCTAGTCTAATTAACATCTATTAAAACTGTTTAAAATTTAATTAATACTCTCTCTGCTTTCATTTCTCTGTTTAATTTGTATTCGCGTGGTAATGGTTTATTTACATTCGTTTAGGATGATACTGAGATTCAATTAGACCAAAAAATTACTTATGAGAATCAAACATGGAATATTATGTTGGTCAGACTATGTATATTTTTACTTGTTTTCGTCCTTTGAAAACACTGTCAGGTGTCGAATATCGATTTGCGTTCCATTTTTTCCGATATTTTTGTATGTTTTGTATTTCGAAGCTTTCTAAATGAGTGTATTTCCGGTTTATAGGTATCGGTCAGTAGTAGGTCCAGTAGTGCGTGGGTCTGGCGGCGGTGGCGCGGTGCTGGTGAGTTCCCGGCCGCGACACGCCGCGCTGCCTGCACTGGTGCGGGACGCACTGGCACGACTGCCCAACGGAGAGGGAACTAGGCATCATGTACTCACTTTGTTAAGGTAAGCCTTGTAACAATGCAGTGAGCATAATCTATCATTAGCACCGTCATTTACCAGATTAGGTACTCCTGAACAAAACTTTGCCTATCTCATAGACACCTTATTTTTAATAAAAATTGTTCTTTGTATTCATTACATTTCATTTTGATTCAAGTTACTTGTAGTTAATCAATTTGTCTGATACAAAACTTTCTACTAGACCAATATTATCAGACACTAGAATAATTTTGTTAGATTCTGGTGTATTTAATACTATTTATTCCTCTGCATCATATTAAACATGTGTCAAAATAACTTTGAAATCTTTTTATACCTTTGTCAGTCTTGATACTCATTTTGCTCACATTTTACGCGCCATATACAATGGCTTATGCAAAGGTAAAAAAGCCACTTAAATTACTAATGTTCTATTAAATTTTACAGAATGTCACAATGGGTAGCACCTTGCAGTGATCAAACACTGCTAAGCGCGGTGTCGTCAGTATTAGATAGACTTGTCTCAGCTAAACGCGATCCTGTCGTCAAATACGACCAACGAACTGCTGTATGGACTTACCTTCATAGGCATAGGTATGTTTTCCTATACTACTAATACAAAAAACGCATTTGCAACCACTCAACCAACAAGGCAGTGTAGTCCATTGTTTTATTGAAATCTGCTACTTATTTTTTTTTGCATTGCAGGAGTGAAGAAGATTGGCTGAAGATTTCAAGTGGTAGGTCGCGCAACAGTAAATTGAACTCCATGTTACTGTCGCCGTTACCTTCCACGTCGAACCCTCCGCAGCCAGTGAGGCCCACTCCTATAGCCACCTCTAAGGAACCTCAACATACGCCACCACATGCGGTAGGTCACAGAAATTTTGTTGTCTATTATGTGAAATATATTTTATTATTAAGTTATTACCAATGTCTTTGTCTTTCAGCAGATGGAGTTAGAAGTGGGTAGTATTGAAGAAGTAGTTGAGAACGCATCGGACAGTGATGTGGACGTGGATGATAGTGGGCAGTCGTCTTCAGTCCCACACATGTCCTCCGCTCAGCTACTAATGCAAGCTACTCAAGCTTCGCAAGGCAAACTAGTTACATTGCCACCCAAACCAAAAGGAAAACTTGTCGCTACACCACCCCCGAAACCAAAGGCTAACATAATACCGAAAGCTGCTTCAGTGAAACAACCTGCCAAGCAACAATCTGCACTCATGGCTCAGTCTGCAAAACAAGCGAATTTACTCGCACAAGCTGTACGACAGAGTAATGTAAATCAAGCAAAACAAACCACCATCATTCAACCACCTAAACCACCTGTACCGCAGTCGCCGAAACAAACTAATGTGCCGCTACAAACGCCGAAACAAGCAAATGTTACTCAAGCTGCTAAGCAAGCTGTTATATCTCAAGTAATCAAACCAACCATTGTAAAGCAAGCCACTCCTCAGGCCAAGCCACCCACTCAGACTGCCCCGGCGACTCAATCTCCCAAACAGGTTCAACCACAACAACCCAAGCAGATTATTGTCAGTCAAACATCAACTCTCTCAGGACAACTATCAAAATCGTTGCCCTCAGTAGTGGCACCACCTAGTAAGTCACCTCTTATCAAACAAAGGCCGCTACAAAAAGGGGAAGGGTCGCAATCTCAGGTATGTCACATACACACAAACATTGTTTTTATGTAACTTGTTTTTGTTGACTTGTTTATGTAACATTTATTTATTTCGCAGGTTATAAACACTACGGCAAGTCAATCGAATTTACAAACTACAACTGTGGTGCAACCAACGAGTACAGCTACTGTACAGGTTCTTCAGAATAAGGTATGACACCCATAATAACAATATTCTATTTTGCAATAGTTGATAATACATAGTTGCAGCGTTAATTAATATGAAAATAATTTCCAGGTCAATCCAGGCACGCGGTCACTATTAATAAGACCGACGGCAGTTCAAACTACTGTTACCGCAGTAGCAACTACACCTGCTACTCAGGTATGCTACAACCAATATGTTGTTTTTAAATTAAATATTATGAAACATTATTAACTAATTTATAACGTGATTTAATTTCAGGTAACACCTACAACTAGACGCGGCGTAGTCAGAGTGTTGAGTCCAGCTACTCCGGCGTCAGGGAAGTCACTCATATCACCGAGAGCATTGATGCAACAAGGTGCTACTGCAGCTAAGAAAAGACCCACAGTGCCAAATACTGTGTCTGTCACAACTGTTGCGCAGGTAAAAATTAGTTTACTTTAATGTATCAAATAATAACTTAATGTATCAAAGTGAACAGTTAGTATATGTTGACTTATCAATATCATATTATAACTGAATCGATGTATTACAGAGTACGGGTGGGGTGACTGCAGTAGTGAGCAGCGTGCCCACCGCGGTGACGTCGTCCGTCACCACTCGCACCGTACAGCTCGCCGGCGGTCGGACAGTGCAGCTCGCCGGGCAGCCCGTGCAGCTCGCGGGCGGGCAGGCCGTGCAGCTCGCGGGCGCGCATGGCGTGCAGGCCGTGCAGCTGGCAGGAGGCCAGGCCGTGCAGCTGGCAGGAGGCCAGGCCGTGCAGCTGGGCGCCGGCCACACGCTGCAGCTGTCGGCGCTGCAGCTGCAGCACGCGGTGCGCCTGCCGGGCGGCCAGACGGTGCAGCTGCCCAGCGGACAGACCGTGCAGCTGGCCGCGCCGCTGCGCGTGTCGGCCGCCAGCACCAAGAGCCCCACGCCGCGCCCGCACCAGGCCGCCGCAGCACTCAAGACCATCCCCACCACGCAACCCGTCCAGATCCCCGTGTCCACAGTGCAGTTAGCCGGACAGACTGTTCAGATCGCCGGCCAGACTGTCCAGTTAGCCGGCCAGAGTGTGCAGTTAACTGGCCACACTGTCAAATTACCCAGCGGACAAAGTGTTCAAGTAGCTAGTCAAAGTGTGTTGCCATCGCAAAGTGTTCAACTACCTAGTGGCCAGACCGTCCAAATAGCTAGTGGCAATGTACAAACTGTTCAATTAAGTGGATCTAATGTTCAATTATCTGGTCAGAGTGTTCAAATGCCGAGTGGTCAAACAGTTCAATTAGGATCACAAACAGTGCAATTAAGTGGGCAAACAGTGCAACTGGCGGGTCAATCAGTTCAATTGCCGAGTGGACAAACATTGCAACTATCTAGTGGACAGACTGTTCAGTTGTCTAGTGGACAAACATTGCAGTTGGCGAGTGGGCAAACTGTGCAGCTAGCTAATCAAACACCGAAGTCAATCGCTCAGGTTGTGCGAAGTCAATCTACTGGCGACAAGACCTCGAGTGGGCAGCCAATAGTGGCTAAATTATTGACTAATGCACAAGTATGTTGGCTATTACATAGAACATTTACGATAAACAGAGAAAAGTGTCTGTTTTGGAGACATATTTGTAATGTTTGTTTTATTATTTAATTTCTGATGTGTATGGTATGCAGGGTCAGATGTTGTCCCTGGAGGGTGTAGGCGTGGGTGGCGGAGCGCGTACAGTGCAGGTGTCGGGCGCGGTCCGCGCGCGCGGCGCCGTGCGGGTCCTGTCCCCCGCCACTAGACTCGCCCGACCATTGCTGCTCACCTCCGCCAAACCGCTGCATAATATTATATTGCAGGTATGTTAGTACACTAAATTTTTTGATAATATATTGGAAATGGTTCATTTATCTGAGAATCATAATCAATAACCTGAAATTAAGGATAGCCTTCCCATTAATCTTCCATAACAAACTACAATCCATTCTGTTCAAGCCTCAACAGTTACCTTGTGCTTTCTATCTGATGAAGTCCTCAATCTATCCAGCGTTACCTGGTCTCTGGTAGTTTCTATCCAGCATTACCTGGTATCTGGTAGTTTATACTTGTTGTCAAGAAGAATTTTATTAATAGATTTTGTTCTATACTAATACGATAATATTGTAAAATCAAAGTCTGTTATTTTCCAGCAAAGTGATGGCAACACTATAAGAGTAACATCGAGTGGTGCTGTCTCATCGTCACAAACTTTAGTATTAAGTAATATTGGTAAGAAAACAGAATTCGAGTTATATATTATGCATAGATTGAAATGATTTTACTGATAATTCTTTTTTGTACAGGTGCACAAACAGTGACAACGTCGTCGACATCTGCGCCCGTTTTAAAACTACAACAGGTGATTATCATATCCTTCTAAACCTTTTATACATGTCATCATTTCATACATTTATGTTTTGTACATTTCATTAAGAATAAGTTAGTGTCATAAAATATTTATCATTATTTTAGGTGAATCCAATACAACAGGTTAAACTCGCGCAGGGAATAAAAATTCAACAGGTGAATTTTGACAGTTTGCATGTTTGACGCTTCAGAAATTGAGTTACGTAGTTCGAGAACTTTTGCATGAATCTCGCAGTGGATAAGAATGATATTGTTTGCCAACAACAAAATGTAGAATGGATACAGTAGGTAAAGTTAAATAAAGGCACACAACATTGTGGATTAGCGGTCTCATATTTGAATCACTAAATCACCTTTGTCTACTAATAAATCAAACCATTTTGGTTTTAGGGCATCTTTACGTCCTCACCTCCTTTATGTCCTCATTGTCTCTGACTACTTCTTACAATCTTGGTGTATTAACATAATTAACTATGAAAGCTAATAATACATATAACGTAACCAGCCGTATATAGCCAAAGATGCAAATATCCAGACAGAATGCGTGTTATTGCGATTTTATGGACACCACATAAAATAAGTGTTAATAAACTGTATGTTCTATTTTGCAATGCGAATTGTTCATTTTATATGTAGGTATGTATCCTTAAATCCATTCTGCAGTTGGTTGACAAAGAGTAAACTTATCTGAATATATTTTACAAAGAGGGCTGGTTGCATGTGTGATTGGATGCGATGGAGACGGTTACTTATAAATAACACATATACATTTAATATATTAACATTATATTTATTAGTAAACTCACGACAAGTTGAAGCTTATTTTTGACAAGCACTTCCTAAATTAATTTAATGTAGATTGTAATGGCATAGCATTTGAGTGCTTCTGAAAAAGGAATTTTTGAATTCGGAATTTGTACAAACTATAATAGCATGCCAGTTGCAAAAGGATATTTACTAGAGTTTTTCGTTAATATTATCAGAAGAACTAGATATTTCATTATTTTATTTTCTCGCGTACGCGCCGCTATAAAGTAGAAACAAACGAATTTTCACTTCAATTATTAAATAAGTAATTTAATACTATGATTCATATTTATCTTGACTCTTTACACGCTATACATAAACTACGTTTATATATATCTTTTTATAACTAAGTTGTAAAGCCAACCATATTACAAATATGTATTTTTTTTGTTAAACGATCCTTCAAAAATTCCAGGCTGTGACAAGTGCAGGGGCGACGACATCTAGTGGTGTTCGCAGTGTACTAATGGACGGGCAGCAACTGAAACTCGTGGGAGGGCGCCACGTTCTCGCCAGGATACTAAGACCTGCTCATCCACCTCAATAACTTTATACTAATTAATTACTATAATGGTAACATTTTTTGAATAATTACTTTCTTAATGGCCTATTTCACCACTCATATAAGTACCCTATGACACTGGTACAAAGTTCATACAAAATATGTTCTATATTAAAATTTGTCTGGCAGACAGTGGATATCTAGAGTATTTGAAATGGGCCATAAATATTGAAAGGCTGAAGCAAAGTAAAGGTGATCAAAATTACGTTGAAATTCCATGGTTAGATGTCGATCTTGGCACCATAATCGTCTTGAAACACTCATTTGATCTGATAACGGATTGATCAGTGGTGTATTTGCTGTAAATAGTTCTAGTTTCTATATTAGACACAGATTAAAAATTGATTTTAATTCGATAGGTTCATTTTGGGACACATTCTATAATCCTTGATTCTTAACTTTATATTTGTACATAATATAACTCTTGCTTACGTATATTATAATACACAATTTGATTTTATAAATATAGAAACAAAATTTAGTTTTTTTTTAAATTTCCTTTAAAAGGGTATTGTACAAAATATAGTATCTTAGTGTATTCGGTTGTAAAGTTCTAAGTTGAGAATATTTTTCTAAAGAAATTAATTGATTATATACAATTCGTTATTTATTTTGAACTAACGAAAGTATTCAGAGTCCTATTAATCAGTTTTTTAAGCTGAAGTAACGGATGTAAGTTTTAAAATGTTGTAAATAGATAATTGTAAGGTTTTAATGGGGAACATTTATTATTTGATTATGTTAATTTATTGTTTGTATATAGAGGACAATGTATACGTCAGAATATTGATTATACGAAAAATCTTATTGTCTATTACGGGCCCATTTTTTTCAATGCTAGATAAATTTTAACTGACGAATAACTTTCAATAATTGACAAATCCATAGTGAAAACTGTCGTCGAATGTCAATATTATTCTACAGTTAAAAATTAACTGATGATTGAAAGATTGACCCTTACAGATATATGTCGCAGCCAACTAGCTTAATTATTACTTTACGTCCTGCGTGAGCGATCTAGAAGCGAATGTGGAGTGGTGCGACGCGGGGCGAAAACAACGAAACTTTCGAAACCTATTGACAATACGCCAATGAGATGCGGTGCGAAATGACACGGACCCGATCGGTTTGAAATTTTCGCGTGAACTGTCGTATATGGATGGGGTTTTTTTTTAAGGGGGGAAAATCATCGAATGACTGGGGAATCGCCTGGGTGAGGCGGGAGGGAGTGTCTGACTCTTACTGACTAAAAACCACCCCGTTCCTTCTTCTGCACGTCGAGTCGGAGCCCCGGTTACCCGTTAGGTTCTCCGCGACATATGGATGGGGTGCTGGCATGTTTTTGTTTGGTTATAATGGTGGAAACAAAAACGAAGCGAAACGATTTGCATGCACGTAGGACATAGCCGCCGCGTCGCACCGCATCGCATTGAATTCGCGTTTCGCGTGCTACCGCTTCATAATGGTGTTCGCTTCTAGATCGCTCACGTAGGACGTAGCGTTAATTGTTCAACTAACGCGGCAGAATTACAAGCCGTTTGATTAAATGTCAGATTTTCTCGTTCAGGCCGTTAGTTCAAGGAAACGAGTTGTTATCAGAATGGTAAGGTACTCCGACCAGCACAAAAATCCGGATTAAGAATAAACAGCTGTCAGATTTTCTCTGCGATATCATTATTTATTAAACAGGCTAGGTCGTTAATTGAATGGCTTATTAAGCTAATGGACTGTGACATCTATACTTCGACTATCCGTCTCCTTTATGATTTTAGTAGGTGTTTTATGATTTATTAACAATAATGAAATTACTTTATTGTTGGTAAATCTTGATTGCAATATATTTTGATATAATGTAACATCTTGTTTATTTATGTTCCTTTTCTTGTAAATACTGGGTCTGAACTTTGATCCTTAACTAACGTGACATAAGTCAATTGCTCCAATGAGTAAAACTTGTTTATAATACTTTAAAAAGCAATTTAATGTATGTTGTAGTTTTAAATATTTAATATAGGTTCGTATTGCACAGTTTTTCACTGGTAGAACGAAATAAAGTTATTGTATATAATTACTGGGTTTTCAATTACGATTCATCTTAATTTAGGTACTTTTATATTATGCGTTATTATAATACTCGGTACACTGGTACAGTCGCCACAATGAGTAAAAGACTTTTTATTTAAAATTTAAGTTTTAAAGTTTTGTTTTTGGACTATTCAGAGTAGGTAGGTACATCTCTGATAAATACGTTATTGACAATAGCAAAATACTTAACAAACTCTCGTAATTGAGGGCCATCAAAAGCGCTTATTCCAATAGGTTTTTATAATAGACAGAAATACAGTATTCGGGTGGGAAAACATAATTTATTTCATTACGTATGTACATGGTGTGTTCACAGCAAATACAAAATAATCACACTGCACGAGGCATTCACAGAACTAAGTCTAACACAAAAGCTAATTGTAACATAAATACTATTGGTACACCAGTGTGCGATGTTATATTGCATGATACAAAATGTTAGCATGAAGTTTAATGTTCCAAGTGTCAATATAGAGGGCATTTATTATATCCAAAACGTTCCTAAACACGGCTTCCTGCGCCCGATACGATTTCATAAATACAAATCGCTTCGTACGCAAGATACTAACAATTCCTTCTACAGGGGAAACGACAATATTCAAAGATACTACAGAGGTATCACATTTTAATTTCTAACTACACTCCCCTCCCCTCCCACATACGATTGTACAGTCATATTACATACCTAACATTGAATTACATAATACGTGTAAATGCATATATCCTTAGCACACAAAGTTACACATAAATTGGAAACGAATAGTGCCGTTACAAAACAACGTTTTAACAGGTTACACGCCATTCAAATAAAACTTACTAGTATCTAAAAACTCAATCATATATCAGTCTTATAACTATGTATTTAAAATTATATAAATACTTAATTGAGATGAAAGTTAGATAATTGAAATGTATAGTAATAAAAGAGCGACGTTAAAACACAGATATAATAACATTACACCGAGATTGATATTATTTCATCTTATCCTAACGGGCTACACAAAAAATAAACGAGTATGCTTATTATGTAGATTTATAATACCACAGGTTTAGTTAATACTGACGAGTCGTACAATCGAAACTTTCAGAGATATGATATACATGGCGCGGGCGAGGCCGCTGTATCGCGTGTTGAGCGAGCCCAACAATATAGAACTGCATGTGATGCGAGTACTGCGCGCTGCACAGACACAGCACTGCTTGATAAACATTCTGATAGCGTGAATTACATGGAGTGCCGGCCTTACTCGACCGTTACACCCTATCTACATTTATTAATATGAATGAACAGAAGCTCCGAATGCCACCACTTCATAGTTAGGTTCTAGCAAGCTCATAAGTATACTATCAATATCTAATTGTCATGTTTTATTACGATGCCGAGTGACGTTATTATGGGTGGCAGGGAAATGGCCAGATCAGTTATTGGATCACGTTCTTTCCACTAGCTGTTAATATCACGACCATTTGAACAGACCTTCGCTACTTCAATACGTACTGACATGGAATGAAAACGTGTTACATTATATTTACTATCATTACTATCAATAATGTTTAGCTAAATCCATTATAAAAATAACTGGGTCATGCCATTCCCCTACGACCGAAATTCTACATAGTAATTTATTTGTAACAAAAATATTTATAGCAATTTTGGCATTTGACACGTACCTACGACCCTAATTTACAATCGATTATCTAGTGCGATTACAAAAAATACTTACATATTATATCGTATCTCTGAACATGGAACCACCATCCGGCCTTCGCTGGCACGAGACCAACCGAATCGTACATTATATACAAACAATAGGCACTGAAAGTTTGAAATATGATCGGTGTGTAAGAAGACGGTCACTGGCAGGTCTTCTAATGCGACTTCGAGAAACTACAGTATTGCAGCTAAATTATTACAAAGTGCGTGGAATGCCTGATGTACAATTGAGGTGACAAGGACGCGTGCTCGTTAGTACAGCGTTGCCGATATAATCACTTCGTATTCATTCAGTGTTTATTAGTCATACACACAAGCAAATTGAGTATTCTTAGGTGAAACATTTAAGTTATACAATTTATATTCATTATAATTTAGTTAAAAATAGTTAAATATAAACACAATAGGTCATTAGTCATGGCTGTCAGGCAGTTTCGCTGCTTACAACAGATTCGAGAATAGACAGGTGCCACAACTTGACCTGGCTGCCTTGTGTTTGTAAGGAGTTAGCAGAGATGCTCTCGTCGTACGTATGAAGCGTAAATAGCGTTTACTAATAATTATTCATAGAAATATAGTTTACTATAAACAGAAAGTAAATATTTATTGGCATAGAAGTATGTGTATTGTAATACTATGTACGATATGTACCAGAGTTGTACACGAGGCATCCTGCGGCCGCCGGCTGCTGAACAAGCGTGAAGCGTGTGCGAGGGAGGTGCTCACTCCTCGCCCTCACCGTCGCCATCCTCGGCGTTTTCAGCCGTCAACAGGTTGGTGTTATCGTCAGCTTGAAGATCCGCAGTCAACTGTTGGAACAAGTGCCACTATTATGTACATGTAATAAACAATCGTACGTTGCTGTAAATTTTCTGAATAAGGAAAAATATAATAAGACGACTAATAAAGTTGCTTACACCAAGTTTCGAAGAGGCGATTTGTGAGCGCTTGCGTCGACGTACAGCGAGTGCCAGTAGCAGCACCAGTGCGATGGAGGACAGGGCTGCCACTAACAACGGCAGTAGCAAGTTGTCACCGGGAGAGTAACCCTGGAATAATAGCATACAGTTATTTTTGGTTATTCGATAAACCTGAAACTTTGATACCGCATATGTCAAGTGTAGAGATTATGATACACCCTCTCATTTACATGATACCCATGGTCCAGCAGTGGACAGTTCCAGGCTGGATACCTGAAAGGTTGAGGTACTGGGCGGTATAAGTTATGGTTCACAATACAAGCACAGAGTCAGAAATAGATTCCATTGATGAAAGGCTTAATTTTTTTATCTTTTACCGATTCTGCATAATATATGAGGTATGTGCAGATAGACATAGCTACCTACACACGTACCTACTCATATAGTGAAGAGCAAACGTTCTCATTCAAGATAAACAAACTTTTTTTCTTAGTTAATTTTGGGTAATTCCCAAAGTAAATTACCGTGAAGAACGACCGAGTAAATTACCTAATAAATTGGTAAGTACCTACCTATGATACGATATGTATGTAAACTTCACGAAAACACATAGTATACTATACCTACGTATTACGAGTAGGTAACTATAACACATTTTGTAACATGAGGAACTCCCTACCTAGTAGGTAAAGTACCTAGAAATAAGTGACCATGAAAAGTACATAATATAAAATATACGCGATATGTACTTAGTTGAAGTTTAACCTACGGCTGCTGTGCTCATATTTTAACCCTGAAAAATATCTACTTGAAATTCGTCTGTTAAACGTTCTTGGAAACTAAAATCTTAAGCGATTCACATATGGAAAAACTGAACATGCTGGTTTTCCTTCCAGGGATAGGTAATTTATGCTCCGTTTATAAAAGCCCTGTTATAAATAATTTCGAATTTAGAAAATGGGATATATTCACACATTTTTATACAAGTTCAGCAGCGCTTTGTCCAGCGTATGTCGTCCACAGCAATATTTTAAAATAGACATTAAAGAGATAATTTTCTTAGTGGATATACAATGGATTGAGAAGACTCGTGTAGATATACCCTGGGAATAATAAGCGCTAGTCGGTTGCAAATAAATAACAAAATATCAATAAAACTTAGATTAAGCATTGGCTCGACATCCAGCCGCCTGTACGCTCCGGAGGTCGCCATGGCCGCGCTGTTATGCTTTTTGTCAATTTTCCCATTCCCCTATAAATGTAATGACATCCATATGTTTCTTACAATGTTCATAATAATTTATTTGTCATTAACGTCGCACTTATTGGGTCATGGGATTATATATACAGTAAGTACATACATACACATGTGTTGGAGCTCTCAATTCAAGAGCCTGCTTGTTTTTTAGTTTAATTCCCTTTGTGTTACAATAAGTACCTACTTTTCGCTTTACAGTTCCTTCAATTCGGGATTACTTGCCTAGGAAAAACGGTTCCGAGTGTCAATTTGTAAGGTCCTAATGTCCTATGCCACATATACTTGTCGCGGAGAACCTAACGGGTAACCGGGGCTCCGACTCGACGTGCAGGAGAAGGAACGGGGTGGTTTTTAGTCAGTAAGAGTCTGACACTCCCTCCCGCCTCACCCAGGCGGGAGCAGTCATTCGATGATTTCCCCCCCTTAAAAAAAAATGCCACATATACTTTATTAGGTACCTCCTTCTTCATTTAGTTTTAGCACACGCAATAGTAGGTACATCAACAAAGATATGTTAAAATAGAAAATGTAAAGCAACATTTTCCTGTTCCGAGGAAACATTGAAATTTTTCTCGAACACCTCTCTCACAGTTAGCCACTAACAGTGGAGAGCTCCCTGTTCCATATTCATGGCTTGAGAGGCGATGCTGTAACCATTTTTGGGCAATTATCCAAGCACCATTCTGTTTCAAAAAGCTGCACATTAACGCACTTGTATCTATATTTTGCCGTTTTTACGATGATTTCTTTTCGCTTTTACATTTCAGTAATTTCATCATCATCAACAGCCTATAAATGCCCACTGATGAGCAAAGCCTCTTCTCACACGGAGAAGGTTTGAGCATTCATTCAGTAATTAATTTAAAGATATTTCCATATAAATTTTAAATTACTTTTACAATAAGCAAACAAAAATCAGTTTCCTTTTTTGAGATTTCTTATCTCATAAAAATGTGGTGTAAATATTATAACAAATAACAAGTATATCAACAGAGTATCGTAATGGTGTTTAAAAATAATTTTGAACCTACCTATGATGAGTTTACTAAGTATTGTGCTAATTAAATCGCCCGTAGTGAAGGTCTTCGCAAACGTGGAGTAGAATTTTGATGCTTCGAATCGGTTTTACCTCCCATTTAGAGTGCACTGAACCAGGATCAATAAGTTGTGTGACTCTTGGCTTATAAACTATATGGTAAATTATATGAATAGTATTAGTATTAAATTATGTAATTCAATTTAATATTGTACCATCATTTAGATTGCCAAGTTTAAAAAGATTTCAAGTCTAAAATGTTTCCGAGGTGAACCATAGAATAAGTCGTTCCCCTAATATTGTTTACTAGATTAAAATTGATGAAATGGGACTTGTTTGCCGAAGGTCAATTTGATGAGTACCATCCACTATTTCGACCATCCTATACGGAACAGAACACTTACAATAATAAGAAGTCTTTGCTATGATACCTATCTCAAAGGGTTAACTTATCTTTAATTAATAATTTCCTCTTTGCAAAAGTGAATCGATCTTTGCTTCATTGTGGTTCAATAAGAACTGTTCATTATATAAGAAATACGATCAGCAATGGATTTCATAAATCAACTTTGTAGGTTTTCCACGTCCGCTTTCATTAAATCACTCGATGTTATCAAAGAACTGTTACGATTAGACATGTTGAGCACGCACTGGCGTTATGATCAAGTAAATAGGTGGGTAAACATTATATAATTCTAGAATAAGGCTAGTACTATGCAGTACGTACCGTCCATTGGAAGTAAGATGACGTGTCCACGAACGGCCAACGCGCTCCATACCAGCCAGCATCGCCGGCCTTTGCCACCGTCACTTCATCAGAATCAATGCCGGCAGCTGCGTAATCAGGCTTCAGTGGAGGCAGAGAAAAAACTTCATCTACTTCCAGCGATTCTTTAAATTCATCGTCATCATCCACCGACAGCATGGTGTCTTTCAAATCTCTTAATTTAGAATTTTCACTAGTAGTTGCAAACTCAGTCGTTACAGGCGTTCTAGCTGTCGTCGCTTTTGTTGTAATCAGGACGTCATCAAACCCTTTTGTAGCAAAAACTGATTTCTCTGACGGTATTTGCGTTTTAGAATAATATTTTAATACGCTACGCAATGTGATCGGTTCTGGAGTAACTGTCGCTCGGATTATAATGTCTTTTTCCCATTTTACTGATGTGTCATGATTAGGTTCATGACTATCACTGGAGACTGTTCCGATGAGTGGAATAACATTATCCTCTGTGGGAATAGGCGGAATAACGGTGGATGACGTAGAGCTCTTCCATGATCGCAAGGCTGGCATTGTCCAGGGAGGCGTAGTCGCTCTCTCGATATTCACTGTTGTTGGTACAGTGGAAGTGGTTGTGGAAGGTGGCGTTGAAATAGTGCTCGTCTCAAATTTCTGACCTAACGTTAATACAATCTCTGGCGTCATCTTAAGTTCTTTTTTTCTAGACTTTACCATCTCGCGCGCAGCAGATGCCATTGGTGCAGGAGTGTTGATTTCATGCTGGCCTTGTTGATTCCTTGCGTCAATAATATAAAGTGGAACAAGAGTTAGAACGAGCGTTGCAGCCATACTAGACAGTATCCATAAGGCATATTTCAAATCTGATTTCCTTCGAGCTCGTCGCACATGAATTGAGGGGCTGTAATCTCGTCCTTTGCCCTTGAGGCCGCTGTTATTCAGCACTTCCTCCGCCTGTGGAAGGATAGTGTACTGGAGACTGTTCTCACCGTGCCGCACTGTCTTGTACATTTTGCTGTTGCTCCTACTTAGTTATCACAAAAGGAAACACTACTGTAACGCTTCGTATTCACACTAAATCTTATCACATGCTCGTGTTTTCAGAGAGCCGAGAGGATCCGCGGTGCTCGCGTGTCTCAGTTTCGCGAGTCATCAACGTGAGGAGTCGGTGCGAGACATCGCGGCCACTCGCGCTTTGTGCAGCGGAGTCGGTGCGGCCGGCAGGCTCAGGCCGCACCGCGCACGCGCCACAACATTGAGCGGCTGCGCGCTCCCCTATCCGCGGTGGCTCGTCGGCCCCGAGCTTTTGAGGTTATATGACTTAGAAGCCGGCTTCTATTTTACATCACGCCGCACGACAATAACAATAACATTACAAACTCTTTAACTAGGTATCTACACCGCCTCATTAGCGAGGATGAGCTGCAGACACTTTATAATACTTGCGGCTGAATGAGGTAGCATCTATTGTGTGCAGAGATTGGCTGATGTTGAATGAAACGGAAAATTTATTTCGGGTCCACTTCGCTAATGTAATCGAAAGCCAATACCTACGCCTGCCGAGTAAATTTAGCGTAGCTAAGTTAAACTTGATTGTAGGTACCGTACATTTATGTTGCTATTCCCATTTTACTGCGAGGGTTGATTTTGAGCGTAACAGTAATGATCACTCCTTATTGCAGGCTTCTTGTGAAAAATTATGACTCACAGACGAGTCGTTTTCCCAGTAATAATAAGTGTGTGTATCTGATTCAGGTTTCGGGCAACTTCCATCGATTTAGTTTTTGCCTGCATTGAACCTTCCCAATGGCAGATCATTTATCATGCAATATACAGCGGGTTTGAGTGTTGGATCTTGGTTTGACGCTACTAAAGTGAATAAATATTCTCAGATTCCAAAGAATTGTATCTGGTCTGACGGGTGTTGTATTTAGGATACAATAAATGATAAATCTGAACCTTTGATACTTCGATCTCCAAATGGCCTGCCTAGCCTGAAGATTATGGCAATAATGCCGGCTCATAATTCAGTAGTAGATTGTAGCGGGCAGTTGGTCAGAATGATGAGGAAGTCTCTAATGTACTTAGTAATGTTATCAGTGCAATTTGAACTTACAAGTTGCAAAGTTTCATTAACTAGAATGAGAATATACTGAACTAAAATATCTATATCGCATGCGCCGAGGGAACCACAATTCTCAGTAATGAGGAACAGGACGCGATAAGGAGGTAGAACGTTCTAGAAAACTTTACTATGGAAATCGTTTTGTTTCATATCCGTGAAGCGACTTTTACTTTGAAGGACTATGCAATGCAATAGATGCAATTGTTTCTCATACCATCGTCTTCAAATGTTGACTTGGTTTGGTTGGTCAGAGTACCGGCTGGACAACCGATTGCTCCGCAATGTCTCGCTGTTTTGCTTCCCGCATGGAACATAAGTCTTTGTGATCCACAGATTGTTGATTGATGTGTATGTGAATTTGTATGTTTATGAATACTAAATAGAACTGTGAAACCAAGCAACTATTTGTAAGTCTAGACTAGAAGATTCATTTTGCGGTTACACAAGAAAGAGCCGAGCAAACTATCACGTCTTTAGCAAACCGGCTACCACCCGCCTCTAATTAAAGTTTAGAAAAAAGTGTACAACGAGTGTATTAACATGTTTTTGCGGCCGGTCAAACAACGAACACACCATACGAATACTAATTCACTTGACCTTCAACAGAATCACGTTTCCTTTCGAAATTGGTTCGTGAATGCTATATTTTTAAAATAAAAGTAAAAAAAGAACGGCCAAACAGAATAAAAGGGTTGGTTGGACGGAACGCTTCGAATTTTTTGTTGGCCCACCATCTTTCCTACTTAGAATTTCGTAAGCGTCGAGTTAAATAAAGGTAGCCGCCTGTTCTGAGTGTTTATAACGATGGTGGATATATCTGAACTTCTAATTTTGATCACCAAAATAAAGCAATCGGTTTGGAAAACTAGATATCGGCTCAGTAGATTTTGATTACTTAATTATAACGAAATACTTTATCCTTTTCTGCTTACAACATTATAAAACTGTTTCTTCAAAACCAGAAAATGTTAATACTTACTTACAGTTGAAACTTACAAAATTCATAAGTATCTAAGAGCCTCTTCCATTGCACCCATTCTCTTCCTTCTTTCTTGTATTGTCAGTAAATTTAATCATCAAGTAGTGCTTTATTAACTGGCATCAAAGCACAACACGAGATAAAAAAATACAATCTGTTAGTTCAGGATCCGTAAACATTTTGTGTCTAATATAGTTTCTGTTCGCACAGTTTGTAACGAAAATGTACATACAATTGTCATAATATTTATTCCCCAGGGACAACATTCAAACGTGCAGACTCTTTGATATTGATATCGACAGACTTACATCAGCCTTATCTATCGTGAAGCTTTTCATATCAGTACCAATATTGACTCTGGTCATTTACATATCCTATCTGTTCTCGCTAGTGTGTGTGTTTACTGAAGATTGGTATTCGACATTACATTTAATATTTCGTTACCATAGAAATTACCCAATATTTTGTTATCAGTTGCAAACCTATTTTCTGTAAGTCTCTGGTATTCTAAAAGCCTTGAGGATACAGAAGTGGTAGACTGTTTACATAAGTACCAAGATAATAAATTCAATATTCTAGCAATTCTACGAATTGAATACGAGGTTCGTAATCTTTGTAACTACTGTTGAAAGTTGTGTAACATTTTTTTGGCAGGCCAACCATGTGCGATGGTATAATGTCCCATTTAACACGTGTGTAGCCCCATTAAAATTGTGGTTACCAGCTATTGACATACTCCATTTATTAAAGTCTCATATGAGTACTCGATTCAAACCTGCGCTACCAAATGCATCGACATTTCTATTATCTATAACGACATGCTTTAAACCGCGACCGTCCAATGATATTTTGAGTTTATTTATATCGATACTAAACTTTTGTTTCGCGTGATACTGTAGATGTATCAATGAAATCGACTAGGAGTGCAGCAGAACGCTGGACTCTACCGCGGCCTGCATTAGGGCGTCGTTTGCTCTAGTACAATGACATCGACAAAGCAGCTATTTTCGTAAGCCGCTGGAAGCCGGCCAGCGCTGCGGGGCATCGCGTAAATAAACGTACATGACAAACGCATGCTGCGCTCTCTTCGGGACGATTTCGACAAATTTAGTAATGCCCTGTAGGAAGCTATCGACACAAAATATGGCTCGACACCGAGCAACACACACACTCACGGTAACCCAGCGAACACTCGCCCCACTCAGGGTAGGGAGTGTAAATTGTAAACTACCGTGTTTATTAATAATTGCATTACTGGATACGTATCTACTACACACAACATTAATTCCTATAAAAATATTTGCTTGTATAGGAAAATAAAAATGTTATTCAACAGTAATAATTGGTTTAATTTGCAATTGTCTAAAATGTAGTCATAAATCTTTACATTAATTAAAATATAAGTTTAAACATAATACTACATTTAGAAGTAATTATGTAGACATTTAAAATAACCTCCACAACCTTGAGGGTTCAAAGCACATCCTGTCAGCGAGTTTTACGAGGTTTGCCTAAATAAACATTTTCACGAACACGTGTTTGGTCGCTTATGCTGGCGGGCGACCGGACTGCGACGGCCGCTGGAGAACCAATCTCCCTTGTTGTAAAAACTCTATTTATTGCCACACCAATATTGTTCTTCCATCCACTACTCACAAAGCAATTTCGAAGGGAGAAACTACACGTTAACGTTACTTCACTACCTGCTGCGTTGTAAATGGCACCAAAACGTTTTTATTACAGCCTTTTTTTTAAGCCTGGGCTTTCTAAACATTACTTGGTCCCTCGTCCCGAACCTTGAGATGAGTTCTCTTTCCCTTATCTTATCCCCGAGAGGCCGACTGAGATAATATTTTAGGCTCAATCTGGCATAAAAACGCTTTTCATTTCAGATAAAGCGGTTGAATTGATAATTATCTCGACAGTACCTTAAAGTTTTAATTACGAAAGGGTTTCTGTGATTAAGTGTGTTTGTGTTAAGAGCTTTTAGCAATGTTTGGGAAGTGTGTTGATGTTTTGTATAGGTTCAAGTCAATAAGCGTCAGTAATGTTTGTCAGCGTGACGGTGTTGGGTGCATCGGCCGCTCCTGACCCTGGCTGGCCCAATGCCACGATATATTCGCTGAACACCGGCCGGTGGCAGCTCGCCAACACCCAGACCCTTCCGCATCGTTAGCAAATCATCATTCTGCGCAAACTGTTGAGACGGCTATTTTCAGGAACAGTTTAGTGATTCCAGAAAATGCTTATTCATATACCTTTGTCCACCTTTATTTCGACTGCGATGAGCTTGCAGCTTTAGACGTGATCATGGTGGTTACTTACATTTATTTTATAATATATGTCATTAAAATGAATCTACTCTTTATTCTATTATGAAACAAAATAAGTCTCCATAGATGACGAAACCTATTTTAAAGATGATTGCAATGTGCTAACAATAAATAATATTCAATTTAGGTCGGCGTGATGTGGGGATCTGGCAGTACTAATTCTAGACATCGCGATCGTTAAATATTCCAGTTTGGTCTGAATAATTTCTTGAAAGTTCGCTATAAATCTGTTATCAAGTGGGGAAGCTGGGTTCATAGATGTTCTAACGATCAAGTGGTATTGGCAGGCAGGAGTGTTGGCATTGGCATAGGTTCAGGACGTTGAACCCGGTACACGTGATGTATGGGCGTAGCGGCACGTGAGACTGAAAGTGCAAGTGCATTGTCCGATCTTGGCTATAAGTCTAGCATGTAGTAGATATGTACTATTATAATATCTTACTAATTTGTACCTGCCATTTTTAAAACCGTCACCTAAATTTAGGTAGGTACTTACATTAGTAAACCAAGGAATCGTTGTAATAAATCTACTTTACTATTTTAGTGTGTCATTGTAATATTTTTTTTTTTATTCTTCTACAGACCTTCGATTGTGTAAAGTTAACTGTTGTGGAATCCGAAATCTTCAATGCTTTGGTTAAATTATGTCTACGGACGACAGGTGCAGTGGATCTGCGATTATTGTCCTTCAATAGGCCCCATACGGAAGAAGAGTGATGGTTTTGATTTGGGTCTTTTGTTAGTA